CCTGTTTTGTCAATGTAGGCACTAAATTGCTTCAGATAGCTATTTTGGACTAGATTAATTACTGATGTATTGTCAACAAAGTTGATTCACATCTCAGCTCAGAAACATGGAAAACTCTCTTTAAAACTTATTAACTTGAATTGTGAAGTGCGGGAAAAAGAGCATAAAATATACCTTTGACTTAGTGAACTTTTGCCTCATTTAAGGAATAGTGGTTTGAAAACTCCTGCCTGGGAACATGCACACAGAATTTCCATGTACATCATTAGCAACTGGGGAGCATACTTCAGAGGCCAAGTTTAGTCCCTCATTGATCTTAATTCTACTTTAAATATTAATACAAGCGTGTACAGTGAAGGCGTTCGGAAGGAAGCTCTGCCATCTTAATCACACTGCACAGATCATATATGTGGATTAAGGTTTTGTGTGCTTCGTAATATCCTTTGGTCCTTTGGACCTCGTGTGTAGCATTGCTGCAAAATAGGATGGCAAATGTATTTGTAGAGCTATCAGCGGCCTCCCAGAAACCTCCTCACCTGTGAGAATGCTGGCGGGCAGTGCCGCAGAAGGCAAGTAGGGTGGATTTGTTGTGTTTGCATATGCTGGCGGGTTAAAGGGCGGCGGGGGGGCGGGGAAGGCAGGCTGGTTTGAGTCAGTGAGACAGTGCGTCTCTGTCTATTAGTTATTCATTCAAATTCAGCCACGTGAAGTAGAGGCAGCTAACAAACCGTATACTTGTAAATGCCTTTTATTCCAGCAACTGAAACTCAGGGCATTTGTAGGTGTGTAGCTGGGCATGCTTAGCATGAATGGCAAACTAATGTAAATCCTGTATTAAATATTTTGGTTCATAGCAAATCTCACATATGTAAGAGAGAAGTCTGTGCAGGTCTCTGGTAGCATAAGGTCCTTTCGCATACAATTAAAAACTACACAGATGATATGAATATAGGGAATAATACACAAAGAACACCCTTTTTTAAATGCATCTGTCATTCATATAAAATCAAATCCATATCCACTGAAAGGCCATTGAAAGGCTTTGGAAGATGTTACAAGGCTTTAGAAATGGTCCATGCTGAATGTGGGATATTTTTTCCAATCCTTATAAATAATTATTTTCCTATGTTTGGTAAGATTAGCTACAGAGAATTTATGTTAAGACTCTGTGGAGAGGAGTACAGAATTTCAGATAATATTAAGCTGAAAAGGTGGTTTAAAAATGTTTCTGTGACACAAAAGCCTTGTATCAAAGAGGCAAATACACCACCCCCTCAGTCTCTTTTCTCATTTATGAAATAAGTAAGCATAAACTATAAATTCTAATTTTCAGCAAGTATGTTAGTAAACCCAAACTGACCTTGACCTTAGCTTTGCTAATTTCCAAACTCTGATATTTATTCCCCGAGTAGATTGTTTCCCTTCGTACCACATACATAAATACTGCAAACCTTTCCAATGACTTGAATTAGAGTGTAAGTAAATAGCTGGGTTTAATCTATGTAATATTTTGAGAGCAGACGTTCTGTGCTATGACTATTAAGATGTACCCAGCAGCCATTTGTATAATACTAAAACCTCTTACATATATTATTAAAAGTAATGCTATCAGCCAGGACTTGTTTTATGCCACAGAGACTTAAATAATAAAATACAGTGTGGATAAAATCTGCAATAATAATAACTTAAGCAAAATTAATTTAAGTAACAGATAACATCTGGGGGGAAATGTAATGGTATATTGGTAAGTTATGCAAAGCTAATTTTATAATAACTACCACATCTGTGGAACTCGTTTATTAGAACGCTTTACCAATCTCCTTTCCTGCCATTATTCCGTTTTAGAAATTTTCCTGCATACTATTTTATTGTCTTTGCTCTGCCTACATTTGTAAAAAGGTAATTTGCTAGCTCTCAACAAGTATGTGGGTTATGTACAGAACAACGTGACGCTTTTTATACTTACCTCTCTTTATGCACACTTTTACTAGAAAGAATTCCAGAGAAAAATTGTGGCATGGGGCTGTACATTGAGAGCAATGTTTGAACACCAGCTACGGTCCTCAGCTGTGACTACGCCGAGGCTTGATGCAACTGGGGTGGGAAAGTAGAGGTGACGCTGAATGATATTTCACCCATTAGCCTCTGCTGAATGTTGGAGCAGCCTCTAGCCTGCTCTAATTTGTCCAGATTCAAGTGGCCTTTTGGCACCCCACCGCACCTAGGAATTAGTAAGAGTATTGCATTTAACTTCTGCTCCCTCCAGTCTCTTTTGGAGCATCCTTTTATCTGCAGCTGACACTGATACGCCCTCTGCATTTGTGCAACTGCCTTACGATTTCTTTATGTTTGAATTCTCGTGGACCCATTGGACCGCAATGTGCAGGAAAATACTGCCAATTAATTTTAAGGCATTATCATCTTGCCAAACTGTTTCTCACATTTCGATAGTTATATTGATTCAAGAGGACACTTTGAGTAATACATCTTTGTCATAGTGAATAATGCTCACATAATGACAAATCTTCAGGAATTAAAAAAAGGAGGATGAATTTTTTAATGTAGGTCAGTGGAAGTAATTCACCATAAATTTACTCAGACTTCAGAAACTAGCAACATTTTTTAAAGCCACTGTAACTGTATAAAACTTACTGTGTCTCCTTCTCTGTTTTTAAATAGATTTTACTACAGAGCCATTGGTGCTATTAAACATGAGGTTTTGTTCAAAGGAAATACAAAGACTTAATTGTATTTTTTAAAGGAAAGTATTGCATCAGAAGGATTCATTTAAATACGTTTGTTGGCTTCGGGCTCTCACCACAATTCATTCATTCTAATTTTCCCCTGGACTTGTTAAGGACACAATGTATAGGAAGGAGCAATGCAGAATGGCATTTTTAGGTCACTATATTTTGGCTGTAAACTGTAGTACTGCTCACAAACTTATTATTACTTAACAAAATACTTCATATTCTACATTGAAGTTTCACAGTCTTAAAAAAACTTTTGGCTGAATGTTGAGACTATTATGGCTCATTAAAGAGACTGGTTCTGCTGTAATTTAGTTATTTCCTAATGATCCAAGGGTTATTATTAGACACGGAACAGATGAGTAAAGAATGGCTCTCTTTAAAAAGATGCAGAGAAGTAAAAATATTATTCTAAAACAGAACCTCTGAAAATCTTATCCATGCTACAAAAATGTATTTGATCAGCCAGGAATTGATTTTAAAAACCTGGTCTAGTTTTTTACATTATTTCATTTTTTGAAATTTGGACCGGAGGGAATAAATGGAATAATGATTTAATCTAAATAAAAAAAAAAAATATTTTGAGTGAATAGTTAACTAACCAGAAAAATGTTATTTTAAAGAAGCAGAAAGTAATTGTGAATTCTCATCCAATTCAGCTAATATTTTTAATAAGAAAATATAAGGTAAGAAATCAGAGAAAATGGAAATATTTGCTAAATCAAAAGAGCTCTAGTTTAAAAAAAAAATAGAACTTGAAAACAAAGCTTCTTTTCATTTTAGAAAGAATAACATTTAGCTGAACTTAAGGTTTTTTCATTTTGATGCAAAACCTAAACTTTCTGACTGTTCCTTTTGTGAGTCTGTAGGCACTAGCACAGTGCTGTAAAATTTGAGTCACAAGTGATACAAGGAAATGCTTCTATAAAATATGGCTTTCTCCTCACTTAAACTCTGGAAATCTTTCTGTCAGCCTTTTGGGTTCTTATAAACATGCGCTAATACTGTCTACCTTTTTTAGCGAGCTCACACATGACAGGGAATCTTGAAGATAACGACAGAGTCCAAACATGACTTCTGAAAAGCTTTTAGGACTACAAAAGATATTTTTAATGCAATAAAGTATAATGGCGAGGTCTCACTCTTTATTTTCAATTTTTGCTATCACTTTTGCAAATGTATAGAACCTTTAATATTTTCAGCATGTTTAATTGTAGCAAGTAACTAAATAAACCAAATATCAACCTAGCTATGATTTCAAAGGTATGAGGAAATTAGTTTCTGGGAGCTGCAGTTACCCAGATGTGAATTAATGCAGCTGACTTACACCATCCAAGCAAAATCATGTTTATAGTAGCTGACTCAGAACTGGAACATCTGCCTGGCGTTCTTTGTGGGCACTTCCCGTTGTAGAGGCCCCAAACATAGCATTTTAGTATTATACCTTGTTCATTCAAAAATGCCTTTTGTCACCCTATTTGGCATGTATGTTCTGTCATCCATTTTTTAAAAAAACACCACAAAACCTTTCCCTTTAGAGGACGCAGGGCCGCCTCCTGCATCACTTGTGAGAGCCTGAGCAAGAACTAAGTGCTGCATCCAGCTACTCCTGGGGGGGAGGAAAGTCATTTCCTTGTCAGAGCATTCCTGGAGCCGCAGTTCACATGCCAGCAGAACACCAGTGTGGTTCCCGTGTTCACAGGAAAGAGAAATGGGAGCAAGTTGATGAAGCAGCAAAACTTGGACTGTTAGCAATTCTTAAATTATAGTCACACATGAAAATACTTTTCCTAGGGCCTTATTTGATGCAGTGTCACTACAACTTTACTCCAGCGAACTCCTTTGAAAGAATACCCTGGTCAGCTGGGGCCCTTCATTCCAAAACGCAACAAGGTCCCTGTTCAGAAGTGACAAATTTACGTTGGGAAGACTGCATGTTGCCCAAACTCTGTGTTTTCTAAACTTAATTATCCACATGAGTAAGAAGCTGTAGTGTTATGAAATTATGAAAATCATCTGTTCTTTCCAAGTATTATAAAGAGGGCCCCTTGAGATGCAGCTAGAAATTAAAGCTGATCTATAATAATTTTCAGTATGCTTTCCAGTTCTGAGCACCTGGATAGTAACAAAAAAGGTATTGTTTTTGTTGTTTGCCAGCCATTTCATTTCCATTTAAAAAAATTTGCAATAAACCTCTGAGCAATAATTAAACCTGAATTACTACTTTTTTTTTTTTTTTAATACTGCCAGTATGTGATTGAACTTGCCCAACCTGCAGTTCCCCCCTTCCCTGCTCTGCTGGAAGAAGATGTACCTTCGGATATCTATTCGTCATTCATAGTATCACCAACAGCTGCAGAGACAGAATCTAAGGTATAGAGTTTTCTTCCTTTTTTAAAAAGCTGTTTTTCTATGAGTCTCCTACTTCATTTATCCCCATTGGAGCCCAGTCGCTAATGATATTTATTCCCTAAAATATAGCATGCATTCTCTTCTAAGATTGAATGAAGTTGCTTTTAATGCATTAATCGGTCAACAGAGGACATTTGAGTCAGCACCTCTGGGCAATCTCCCCACGTGACTTCATAACCTCAGGATCTGCCTGGCCTGGGCAGTGAAAGAGAGACGCTGACAGTCTCTGTCAGAGCAGGAGTTCTTAAAAGCAGGCTTCGTGTATTGTTGCACGTCTTTGGGCTGATGCTGTTTGGTCTTGGAGAGAGCAGAGGATCTTCTAACTCACGTATTTATTGTGGTTGGTTGCTGCTAGGGGTCTGATGAAGAGGGTTACCTGGAAGACCCCTGTCCAGAGGTAGAGTCCTTTGAGGCAGATGCTGTGGCTGGCATCGCTGCTGAAGATCAGAAGTCCGCAGTGGGTGAAATCCCAAAAGAAATTATTGGCAACCTTGAGGTACTATTACTAGGAAGCAATTCACTAATTCTGTCTATGGTTAATTAGCTAGCTCAGCCTTAATGAATATAAACTGTATTCAGGCTAAAGCTGGCAAAAAGCACATCCATATGCTGTAAAAATGTGAATTAGCCTCTATAAATAACTCCTAGTTTAGTCAGCTTACATGTGATAAGATAAAAAATATTCAGTAATATAACAACATATATCTTCAGCATTACTATGTGTTAAGAAACATGGGCCAAATCTTGCTCTCAGTGATGTCAGTGATAAAATTCCTTTTCAGGGGTTCAGGATCAGCTGCTGTGATGGAGCATATGCAATGTGTGCTTAATATACATTGTTAGATGCATCTATGTTACACATCCTTCAATCTGTGTAAGAAATAACACATTTATGCCAATTTTAGACTTCAGTTGGTAGGGGCATAACTATGCAAGAGTTGCCTTAATGGAACAGATCAGGTTTCAGTATGTGGTCTGCAGACTCTGAGGAGTCCATGAGTTCTTTCTATGGGGTTCATGAAAGGGAAGGAAGCTATTGTCAGTGGACTTAAATTTGTTGTAGGGTGATCTGCTTCATTACAGGGAGGTCTATAAATGGAAACATGTGGAAAGCCAGCAGAGTAGATCATTGTTATTTTGTAAACTGCTCCCTCAAGCATATGAAATTATTGAAAGCAAACCAGCTAGTACTCAGTTCCAGCCAGGAACTGGTGGAATTTTGTCTTGTTTGCAACAACCAGGTGGCATTAGGCACTTTAAACTTTTGATGCAGCACATTGGACATTGTTGACCAGGCAGCAGTTTATTAAATATCTAATATTGTCTGAAAATAGTGTGATACTGATAAATTGCTTTACATAGGTTATGTATGAATGGGGAATATAAATTGGAATAATGATGCCATCATTAGATCTACCTATTTGATTTCATACTCCATTTCAAAATGTATTTAGAAACAGGAGAGAACCTGGCCTATGTTGTCTTATTCCTGGCCCTGCCTACAGAAAACATGAAATGCCTGTTTTTCACTTCACCTTGATTTCATTAGCATCAGTCTAAGAGCTTTTTTTCTTCACAAAAACTGCACAGACTAGAAAAATGCTTTTTTTTTCCTTCTTTTGCAACTCTGCTTATATACACAGAAAATAATTTACTTTTAGTTTTTAAAAGTCCTCCACCGATGTATCACCTGATTTCTCAGTTTGTTGACCTCTGAGGTAATCTTATCATTAGGTTTTTACCTGATACATGGTCAAACTCATACCATTTTGTTGTTATGTGTGAACTGTGATTTCCCAATCTGCATTACATCTCCAGGGAACATGAGGCATCTCTTGTTGTAGCTAAGTCTAGAAAATAACTTTTAGTCTGAAGTCACAGTGCTGACACTCAGTGATCACAACAGCAGCCACAGTGAGTATGGTGGCAGCTGATTTGCACTGAAGGTAGAATCAGAGAAATAGGGATATAAAAACTGAAGAAGAGGCAGCTGGGGTGGCTGAGAGATGATTAGCCTGGAGGATCAGTGTTCCACAGCAAAGCAGCTAAGTATACATATAATGTAAAGGGATAGGGACATATTTGTTGATACTTGAGGATGGATTGAATATGGTGAAGGCCATCTCTAAAAGATACAAAGCTGAGATAAAAATTCCAGCTTTTTGGTGCTAATCTGAGCTACTGAGAACTTTGAGAACACTTTGGCTGTGGTTATCCATTGATAGGTTGCAGTGTAGCACTAGCAGGGATTTCCAGGACTGGCAAGCCAGAAAGTTCCTAAAATGGCAAGTTACTGCAAGCTTTTCTGGGCCAAATCCATTTGCTTTATCAAAATTACATGAAGTCCATTAGAACGTAACTCTAAGTTTTGGATCAGTTTATGTGGAGTCTGTAAAGGACCTTTGAGCCTGTTCCAGTTTTTTGAACAAAACTTTGTGACTCTTGGAAAGACTGTCATTGTACTCCTTCCATTTCTTATGTATTTTTGCAGTGATGAATGCTTATATTGAGAAATATACATAAATTCCCCATAAACCCCCAGTATTTGTGGTCTTTTTTCCAGTGATCCCCCATTTCCAAATGCTATAGAATTAAAGACTGCCATGCATTATCACTGCCAAAGATTTCACTAAAATATGTCACGACCCTTGCACCATCCCCACAAATGTTACTTTGCAAATCAAACACTCAGTGTCTACAGCAGTCTGGATTTCCAGAATGAGATACACATTCATAATTGTGTTTGTAATGAACATGACAAGCAACATCACAGAAATATGTTTTTTTATTGTTCGTGTTCAGTAATGCTTTCTAATTCCATCAGTGATTCAATAAAATGTACTACACTAGAGAACAAACATCTGCAGCAAAGGAAAACAGTGGCAACAACCAAATCCCAAAGCAATTTTTCTGATTTGGTGTTTATTGGTAAAGGCTGTCTGACAATACGGGCAAATTAGCCTATCTCCCAAGACAAGGTTACATGAGAAATGGCTGTCCCAGATCACTTCCTGTTCATGGCAGTCCTACCGTACATCGGGATTGTGCACAGTAAGATGATAAAGTGTTATCACGTAAGTACAGGCTGAAACACCATTATGTCTGCAAAACAGGAAGGTGTGTAGGATAGTGTCGGTCTTACTGCACTACAGTGTGTCAAAACCACAAAGACAATGTGCAGCCTAAGATAGCTTCATCATAACCACTCTTTTCTTCTGATTTTCTTTACAGGCAGAGATAAATGAAAAGCTGCAAATGCAAGAAGAAGCTTATACTTTGAGAACAGAAAAATTAAAAAGTCCTAAATAGCCAGATAAGAAAGGTGATGTTGAATTTTACAGAAATTGGGCAGTAGGGGATGGTGTGCAGAGAAGACTGGCTCCCTGCCTGAACGTAATTGGTTTTGTATAAAGGAAAATGGTTCTGTTAACATTTACCTAGAAACAGTTCATCCCAGTTCCTCAAATTTACTGTGTTCTGCCAGTGTTTTTATTTAGTTTAGACTTAAGTAGAAGATTATAAACAGAAGGCTATGTAATTAAAACATGTTGAAGTTCAGTTTATTTCTGAATAGAAATCCTAATGTTAAAAAAATCGCTGTAGTTTCATTCTCTTTCCTTTTTCCAGTTGAGAAATATGTAACAGTTTCTGCTTTACACCTATGGCATTTTTCAGGAAATTTTGCTAGAAGGAGAACACAGAGAGAGAAAACATCATTTTGAGGCACTGCAGATACAATAGGAGAGAACTTAATAAACATGTAATTACACACTTTTCACTGTAGTTATTCATTAATAATCATAGAACAGTTTGGGTTGGAAGGAGCCTCTGAAGGTCATCTAGTCCAACCCCCCTGCCATGGGCAGGGGCATCTTCAACTAGATCGGGTTGCTCAGAGCCCCGTCCACCTGGACCTGGAATGTTTTCAGGGATGGGGCATCCACCACCTCTCTGGGCAACCTGTGCCAGTGTTTCACCACCCTCGGTGTAAAAAATTTCTTCCTTATATCTAGTCTAAATCTACCCCCCTTTAGTTTAAAGCCATTCCCCCTTGTCCTGTCGCAACAGGCCCTGCTAAAAAGTTTGCCGCCATCTTTTTTA